ACTATTATTATTATTATTATTATTATTATTATTATTATTATTATTATTATTATTGGCATTATTATTGTTACTGCTATTATTATTATTATCATTATTATTATTATAGGTATTATTATTATTATCATTATTATTATTATTACTGGTATTATTATTATTATTATTACTGATATTATTATTATTATTATTATTATTATTATTATTATTATTATTATTAATATTAATATTATTATTATTATTATAATTATTATTATTATAACCTGCAAGCTTTGGAGGTTTATATTGTTTAAATGCAAACTCTGTCCCACTAGCTTATAGATATCCTTAAACATGCCGATACGAACATCTTACAAAACATTATTTAAACTTCACAGAAGCTTTAATTTGTATTTAGAGCGGTCTCCAAGCAACAGTTTTGTTTTAAAAATGCAAACCTTTGTTTACTGACGTGCACGCAGGTTCATGGGAACCATTGAAACATTCCATGTCCAGAGAGAGTGAAAAGTGAATGAACTGATAAGTGAAAACAAGCTTTTTACATCTTTGTTTTGATCTGCGTGATTCATCCCAGTATTCCAGTATTGTCCATGAATCCGCATCTTAATTGAGCTTCCCTTTCAAGGCGAAGCAGTGTTTCCTATTAGCCCTTTTGAACGCTTTCCAGGCCGCAGAATCACTTGCAATGGCATTCCCGAAGCTCCTCAGATGACTCCGTGTGCGGGCTATGAGGTGACATCAGTCACGAAAAACACACAGGTGGTTTTTCCCCCAAATATTATCCCGTCGCAATCATCAAGAGACATGTTTATCGCTGCATATCCAATCCGGTGACAGAAATCAGCCCAAAACCTGGGCTTTTCGATGGAAATATCGCAAGCGACGGATGAAAGATGGTTTGGAAAGATTAGCAGAAGAATTTTTAGATAAGCACCCCAAGTGGATGTTTATTTTGTATTGATTATAGGACGTCCGGGGAGACACGATGACGGCCGCGCTGCGAACATTCGTCAACATTCCTGCTTAATTGTGGAATTCTGGATGAACGCTGCGCTGTATGCGTGGCACAACAATAGTTGTGTGGTCGGAGGTTTATTTTTGTAGAGCCGAAGCCTGTTACCACTTTGCTTGTTTGGAAATCCAGAGAACAGATTGGAGAGAAAAATGTGAATGATATCAGCTTATGTTGTCTTACATGTTTCGGCACGTGTTTTGCGTTATTTCTCCATGCTTTTTGGGGAATGTATACAATGCCACATTGTTATTGCAAGCAAACGGCCTGTCTGTAAAGAGAGATTTGTGTTTTTGACCTTCACAAGATCTCTGATTAGCTCTGACGTTGTACAACGTTGGACACTGTTTGTGGTTAACACTGAGCCAGAAGTTAAACTCTTCTACCATGTACCTTTAGTCATTTAGGAGATGCTTTCGTCCAATGTGACTTATAATTGAGGAGGCAGTCAGCAAATCAACAAGAAGAGGCAATACACTAGAGAACTGTGCATCCGGAAAGTATTCGTAGCGCTTCACTTTTTCCACATTTGTTTATGTCACAGCCTTATTTCAAAAGTGGATTAAATTAATTGATTTCCTCAACATTCTACACACAATCCCCCATGATGACAATGTGAAAAAAGACTTTTTGAAATGGTTGCAAATATATGAAAAATAAAACACCTGAAAATCCCATGTACATCAGCATACCTGTCAACATTGAGACGAGAAAATAAGGGATAATAATAAGAGATTCCCCCGACCCTCCCTTTAACCAGTTAAGCTCCGCTGACCCGGTATGTGACGTCATCGACTTTCACTAGCATTGCACCAGACCCCCTTAAATGGTTTCGTTTGAAAGTGTAGAATCTATATTTTATGCACATATGCATCACTTTGGTTTTTATTCTACTGTACTAAAGTTATTTATACTTAAATACACAGTATTTTGATACCCGAGCTGCGTATTGAACATTGGTTCATTTTCATATATTTCATATGACACATGTACAAGTTATAGCTCAAATGAAAGCTCTTGCCGGTGCTCATACGGTTCTAGCATTCTTTTTACTAAATTATATTCACATATCAAACAGTTGCCGAATGAATCTCGGTGTTTACATGATGCAGAAGTGAAAACAATACAATCATGATCAATAAGCAGCCCCAGATAGCACAGACAGCCGTCATCTCTTACCTTATGCTGTGCGCTTCAGGGCCATTCTCCTCTGTTTTTAAAGTGATGTGCATAAGTAATCCTTTTATATGTCTGACGTGCTCCAAACACAGTGAATTATGTTTGATCAAACAAAAGAATAGTGAAATATGAAAGCAATGATCGCTCCCTGTGGCTTGTACAGCACCTCTTATCAGTTGGAATACAATAACTTTTGCATAGATTATGGTGGAGACATTTAAAATTTTTTCCTATGATTACAGACATGTGCAGGAACCACCAACATTAATTACAGCACGCTAGACCACACACAACCTAAAAGGTACACTTTTAAATCTGAGTATATAAAAAAAATACAAAAAGCGCCTCTTTTTTAAGGCGTTTATTATAACACAGACGACATATACAGATATTTTAAACACTTTCAATAGTGTTTTATGAAAAGTCATAGGGTTTTCTTTAAAATGATACCAAATTTTTGCATTTACACCTCTGCATGTGGATTTGGGAAGCTTTTAAATTTGGGTAGGCAAAATCCAGGCGGAAATCCCAAAATAGCAGCAGAGTTTAACTGCTTAAAAAAACCTGAAATTGCTAAATATGCTTATTTTGGTGCTGTTTCAATGGTCAGTAATATGTTTTATTATTATTATTATTATTTACAAAAGAAAAAAATCAATAGTTTACATTAGCAGCAAATAAATTCAACAAACAGTTCAGCTTATTTAAATTAATAGCTATTATAACGAAATAGAATCGGGGCGGCGCTGTGGCGCAAGTAGGTAGTGCTGTCAACTCACAGCAAGAAGGTTGCTGGGTCGCTGGTTCGAGCCTTGGCTCAGTTGGGGTTTCTGTGTGGAGTTTGCATGTTCTCCCTGCATTCGCGTGGGTTTCCTCCGGGTGCTCCGGTTTCCCCCACAGTCCAAAGACATGCGGTACAGGTGAATTAGGTAGGCTAAATCGTCCAAAGTGTATGAGTGTGTGTGTGGATGTTTCCCAGAGATGGGTTGCGGCTGGAAGGGCTTAAAACTTGCTGGATAAGTTGGCAGTTCATTCCGCTGTGGTGACTCCGGATTAATAAAGGGACTAAGCCGACAAGAAAATGAATGAATGAATGAAATAGAATCAAGCTATCAAATCGCATGAATCTTTTCTTCACTGTTTAACTTACAAATTCTGATTTCAAAGCATTGTCATAATAAGTGTGTAATAAACAGTGACTGGGTCAATGAAATAAATCACATGACAACATAGACAGAACCTCATCACACAGTATGAATTATGTGATTTAGATTACTTAATTTAGATATTCTCCTAATAATTGGTACACAAGTACACATTTACACTCTGAAAAACAATGTGAAAGATAAATTAAAATAAAAAAGTCAGCATGAATTTCCCAGAGACGGGTTGTGGCTGGAAGGGCATCGGCTGCGTAAAAAAGTGCTGGATAAGTTGGCGGTTCATTCCGCTGTGGCAACCCCGGATTAATAAAAGGACTAAGCAGACAAGAAAATGAATGAATGAATGAATGAATAAATGAATAAATAAATGAATGAATGAATGAATGAATGAATGAATGAATGAATGAATGAATGAATGAATGAAGGCAGCATGAACTGGAAGTTGCTGAGACTTTTTAGTATGTTGATGTACTTTCAACTGAAACGGAATATTGAGTAGGGGGCGGGGCTTT